GTGGGTCCCCAAGGAGATGGGAAAAAGAAGGTGGGTCGGGTTGGTGGGCGGCGAGGAGAAGGGGCAGCCCCGTCGGGGAAGAGGACGAGGCGACGGGCGATGGGTGGATGGATGGCCCCGTCGAGGAAGCCACCGGGTTGCGGGGGGGGTGGTGGTCTCGCATCAGGTCCCCGTTAAGGGGGGGGAAGGACACTCGGTGGCCCCTCGCCATCCCCGATGGGAAAAAGAAGGTGGGTCGGGTTGGTGGGCGGCGAGGAGAAGGGGCAGCCCCGTCGGGGAAGAGGACGAGGCGACGGGCGATGGGTGGATGGATGGCCCCGTCGAGGAAGCCACCGGGTTGCGGGGGGGGTGGTGGTCTCGCATCAGGTCCCCGTTAAGGGGGGGGAAGGACACTCGGTGGCCCCTCGCCATCCCCCCCCCGGGTCCATTAAAAGACGGGGGGGTGGATAAACAAATACTGTACATCAAACAAACAAACAAACAGGGCGAGCGAGCGGCTCTTGCCCCGACGGTACGCCTCCCTCTCCGAAGGTGCCTTATGTTTTCGGACTACAGCACCCATCGTCCGTCCGTCAGCGGCCGCGCTGACTGGGGGTTTTGGGAGCTGGAGTCCAACCCTAAGTGCCGTTTTCTCCGGCGGCGCGCTCGGGGCTGAGCTGGCCTGCCGGGGGAAGACCTGTGTTCACGCCCTTTCCCACGTTACGGACCAGACACGCGCAAACACTCGCGCACGCACACACACACACACACACACACACACCCCGAAGATACCAACCCAGCTGGGAGCGGAGTAGGGCCCCGTGCAACGGGAGAAGGACCTCGGATCAGAGCTGGGGAGGAGGGGGGAGGGAAGCGGCCGCTCGGTCTGGGGATTCTGGGCTCTGTAGTCCAAAAGCAGCCGCTTCCGGAGCGCTTCGTTTTGCATTTGTGGACGTGACAGGTGGAAATCGCGAGGCTCGTTTTTTCTTCGTGGGAAGTCCGTCCGCAATTTCCCCTATTTCCGTTAAAATTGAGCTGAAAAGTCCAGGAGCGCATTATTCTAACTCTGTTCCCCCCCCCCGTCCTCTCTTTCCTGCTTTTTCCAAAGGGAAAAACTACACGGATCTTAAGCAGAATCGTTCTCACGTTTCCTTTCCTTCCTTCTTTTTTTTTTAAAGGCATCTTTCATAGCCGGAAAAAAAATGAACCCGAGTTCAAATACGGAGCGTGGGCAAGTTAACTTGTTGGACTCCATCTCCCATCACGCCCCAGCCAAACGGGGTCAGGGGAGTGTGGGACCTGGAGTCCCCGAGAAATCTGAAAGCCCCTTGCTGGGCTGCAAATCCCCGGAGTTTTTCTGTCGTTTCGACTTTTGCCCCCCCCCAAAAGACCCCGAGGAGTCTTTGGGGGGGGCTATTTTCCCAGCGCTCGAGATCCCAGGAGCGACCCAAAGAAATGCGTACATAAAGAAACAAACAGATTTTTTTAAAAAGGACCCCAAAACTGGAGCGAAGCCTTTTTTCCCCCTCCCCAAAATCATCAAAAAAGGTGTATTATTTTTTAAAACTTCCGCAGGCTGCCTCCGACCGCCCCAGAAGGGAAGGTAGCGTGGCCGAGCGGTCTAAGGCGCTGGATTTAGGCTCCAGTCTCTCCGGGGGCGTGGGTTCGAATCCCACCGCTGCCAGTGTTATTATTATTATTATTATTATTATT